AGAATCTTTTGCACTCTTCTATTAAGCATTAAAGTAATTTATTATGTATTAGCCACTGTTGATTAATATGATATAAATTGTTTAATGAACCATTTTCGTATGCAGCTACACGTGAGACCCAAGATAGAACTGGGAATGATGGTTTTGACACCCTTGAAAGTATTCCAGATGCAGTTCCAGTCACGTTTACCGAGCCTCCTATTGAAGATCAGTTAGCATGGAATACCTTATGGCCAGAGACGCACAAACTTTATGGTCATGGGAATGAGCTGTTTTCGCTATGCTGTGACCAGAAGGGAAAGCTTGTTGCTTCATCATGTAAGGTATATGGAGCTCTTCATACTGTATAGTTTTATATATTTTTATAGAACTAGTGCTCAAAGTAAAGTACTATTAACCATGTAAAACTAGTATTTTCATTTTTTAGAAAGAACCTCGATGGGAAAACGAAGACGACATATATAAATGATATGCATTAAATGCGAAATGACTAGCAGTTTCCAGTTTTGTTTTTTTAACTCTAATGCTCATATGTGCTATAAAAGAACAAAATATGAGATGCATATTTACTGGTCTTTTGTTAAATATCCTGTAGGCCCAATCAACAGCAGTAGCAGAAATATGGTTATGGGAAGTGGGTTCATGGAAGGCAGTTGGTCGCTTGCAGTCTCATAGTTTAACAGTGACGCAGATGGAGTTCTCTCATGATGACAATCTGCTTTTGTCTGTCTCAAGGGATCGCCAATTTTCTGTCTTTTCAATTCAAAGGACAGGTACTGTAAATTTTACTATTCTCAGTACTTTTTGTCTATTATGTGCTGCTTCTTGGTCAGTTGTTCACCTGCAGCTTGCCTAAGTATTTAAATGCTCTTACTAGTTAGTCAACCTTTTAATAAGTTCGTTGTAGTTTTAAAATGGCAAGTAAGAATTCTAGTGAAACCTGTAAAGCAATTATAATTTGTTTGCCTGTGTCTGACAGTTGACATAATGGTAAATTGGTAGTGAAAATCGTGAGAACTTCTGTATCTGCTGTGTTGCTTAGATGTAGGTTAACAGATATTTAAAACCAAATGTGATCGATTCACTTCTAGTTCTGGTTATTTCTCTTACAAATCAAGCCAAAAACAAAGTGATGTTTCTGCCATTGTGACCTCTGGTCCTCTCGGCATCGACAAGTATCTTCTCCTTTTTTAGGTCATAACCTCTGCCACCACCTCTGGACTTCTGGAACAATTGGATATTCATATTTCCCTGCCTTATTTTTAGCTTTATTATAATAGAATGGAGTCAATTTAAGGGCAATTTCTTCTGTTAGTCCTTTACTTCCTCAGCAGTCGAATGGAGACAGCCATTTGATTATGTTGGAAATTTTCGCTCTCTAATGTTCACTGTGCTTGAATGAACACAGTCCTTTAGGAAAATATTCTTTAGTGATAATTTTCAAAACCTTATTAGATAGTGTTGCTCATGTGTTTGTTTAGATTCCGGCAAAATCAACTATCATCTTCTCGCGAGGCAAGAGGCACACAAAAGAATAATATGGGCATGCTCTTGGAACCCATTTGGTCATGAATTTGCAACAGGTTCAAGGGACAAGACAGTGAAGATATGGACTGTGGAAAACGAATCAGTTAAACAGATTCTGACTTTGCCACCGTTCAACAGCAGTGTCACTGCCCTATCATGGGTCGGTCTTGATTGTCAGACAAATCAAGGACTTCTTGCGGTAGGAATGGAAAGTGGACTCATTGAACTGTGGCATCTCTCCATCAAAAGAACCAACAATGGCAGCATTACAGTACCCAGTGTAGCAGCTTCCCTTGTCGTAAAGCTTGATCGATTCATGTGCCACGTGTCTCCAGTCAACCGCCTGGCATGGAAAACTCCCGAGAAGAGCGAAAACTGCAAGAGCATGCAGCTTGCTTCCTGTGGAGCCGATCATTGTGTAAGAGTGTTTGATGTTACTGTTTGATTAGTCATATAATTCTTTTGTACCCATATACAAAATTTTGAAATCTATACATAATAGACATCAAAACAATTTTCGACGGGCATCGGCATGATGCAGACCTCTTTCAATCAACCTAGAACTATTAGATAAAAATCTCAATCATAGACCCCATGGGGGATGGCTATGCTCTTGACTTTTGATAAGCAGCAATTTAAGACTTTAAGTCATTGAGTGGTATAATTTTGTTCTAGGATTGAAGTAGGCTAACACTGCTGAGTCAAACAAGAGCAGAAAGCTACATGCTGACACTAGACTGATTCTAACTCTATTCTATTTTTTTGTGAATGTGAAACTTTCTCTGATTCCAAACAATATTAAATATCATCAAACAGTCAAAGCACGCAATCTTCTGAAGCATGCGTGAGTTGAGAATCGTCATTTGTGGGCACATGTCTCACATTATTGTGCTTTCTAATGGTGGCTGAGGAGCCTGCATGAGGTCTAGACATGTCTTAGTCTGAGTTGTGAATGTTGAATGCACACACAACCACTTTTTTAATGGTACTTTTCCAGGAACATCTATGTTACTGGTGGGGTAAGGTTACCTCCCGTCTGTACCATCGGATCAGTCCCAGAAAGTGATCAGGCTTACATGGGATCGATCCAATGGTACAAAATGGGGCTGAAAATGAAATCTTACCCCAGTACCATAAAAGTTTATGTTATTACAGTAACGGTACTCTTCACCTGAATCATTGAATCATCATCTTGTGATGATTTGTAAAGCGAAACCCTACTTTTCCGGTGATATTACCTTTTCAGCTGAACCGTTAAATGTTCGGTGGCATTACTTTTCTAGATATTATTCTATGCTATAAAAATTTACATTGACAACCCCATGACCTTTGTGTCATCTGAAAGGCCAGTTTCCTTTGAAATAATTTATTGGAAATTGGAAACTCCTCGAAATTTCTTCTAACAATGTGAAAATCTTTATGAACTCAACTTTAACATGTGATTCACTGATTCCATGTAGTCAAGTCTTGGTTTTGACATTACTTAAACTCAGCCAAGTCAATATATAGTATTCACAATACGTAGAAACCATTTTTTTTCCCTATTTTTTCTAAACTATCAGTCATGACTTTTAAGTCTACTGTTTGAAGTGGCTCGGCCTTTTAACTGATAAAATTTGAGATAAGTTTGACTTCTTATCCAATAAGACCTTGTTGAATGAGAAAATTAAAATCTCTTATAAACCAGTAGGTTTGAGCATACTTAATCGGTGTGAAATTTCAATATTAACCTCCGTTACGAGGATGCCAGACTTACCTTGCCAACATAATTACAATGAAAAATGAAGTCTTAATTAAACGTGAAAGCAAATGGTGAAGCATAAATTGAGGTTTGTCAATTGGAGTGAAGACAAGGCAAGAAATGGCATTGAGGAGAGCTGAGTTTGTCAGCATCAAGAGCCGGGCATGGCATGGCATGAAGCAGCAGCTTTTTACCTGGAACATGGCTAAAAGTTAATAAAACCACGTGCTTTTGCTTAGTCATCAGAAGAAAAACAACACCCACTTCGATGATTAAGCACAAAACCTCGTACGTTTATTGCATTAATTAACAAAAACAAAACAAACAGAGAATCAAAAACGTGAATCAGTGCTCACCCACGAGAGAATCAGTGGGCGCATTTATTATGAGGTTAATTCTATGGACCCAGTATCAAACATGGTTTTATGGATATTACAATGATTAAAAAAAAATTATTATTCAATTAATAACTCATAATTTTTTTACTATAAATAACAAAAAAATAACTAAAGAGCTGAAGATTTGATCAGTTGAAAATACTATATTTACAATCCAATCTCACAAACTCTAATTTCTCCGAAAGTTGACGTTATCTCTAAAAGGCAATAGTCATTTAGACCATTGAAGAGATAGAAGGGCTCAATTAGAAGGTAATGTTACCCATCAACTGCAATGGTCGTCAGGGTCACTAGAAAAATCTTATGATTTAGTTAGAAAGTAACATTATCCCCACATATATATATATATATATACACCAACACTTGAAAACGAAAAGCTATTTTAAAATACAAGAAGATCCAATTATAGAGTAAAGTTATACAGATAATATAAAATTGTTTGATATGACTACTTAAGAACTTGGTAAAATAGGTTTCATGAAAGGGTCCAAAGATGGGACCATAGAATCTTTCGTAATGTGTAGTTTCATACGAATAGTGTTTGGACCCCTGACAGGTAAAATACATCAAAAAAATGATTTGGTAAGGATATTATTGCTGGACATGGTAAGTTTTTAGGTAGCAATACACCACCATTATCTCTCATGGTCCAGTTCATTCAAGCACTAACTCATAAGTTTCAACAAAACCTTATCTGACATTCCAAGAAAACATAAATAAAATAAAATAAGAAATCAGATAATGGGTTTTTATTTACTTATTTTCAAGCCCCATGGATTGAAGGTCCCCCATTCAGGACGGACATCCATTGCACTTGGTCCTCCCAATCCACCAGTGAATTTCATGTTACAACGTTTCTTGCCTCCGTCATGTACCTGTTTCATTGACACAGAATCGATATCGAGGCTGAACTGGAAATGCAGGTTCCTGAGGATCTTAATCTAGGCAAATTCAAATGGTAGCATCAACGTTGCAAGAAACAAAGATCACATAGAAGCCTACAGGCTACAACAAAAGGTGTTTTGATGAGAAATGTTGGGTTATATAAAATCAAAGACAATGTACATTGAACTCAAAAGCTCTCCAATCTACTTAAAAAGAATATTCATCCAATAATTATCAAGATTCGATATCGAAGTGAAAATCAAAAACAGTTCTTGCTTGAGACTGAGGCATTGCTAAACTGGAAATGCAGGATCCTGAGGATCTTATTCCGGCAAATTCAAATGGTACCATCAACTTAGCAAGAAACAAAGATCATAGAAGACTAAGACAAAAAGTTTTTTTTCAAGAGAAATGTTGGGTTCTATACAATCAAAGACAGTGTAGAACAATGAACTCAAAAACTCTCTTAACTACTTAAAAAATGATTATTCAGTAAATGATATATGAACTGCACAAAGCAACACAATATTTCAGTTTTGAGCTTTTACAGAGTATAATCTCAGACCACTATCGTTTCCTATAAGATATGAAATACAAGAAAGAGTAAACAAATCCACAGTTCCTTATTATCTAATCACAAATACATATCACAAACCAATACCAGTAATAACAAGAACACTAAACAAGAAAAAAAGTATATAAACCAAACCCTTCCTTCAAAATTGTTTCTTCTTTCTTCAATTATTTTATAACGGCTGTGAAGTTCTGATCTGTTGTTGCTTGATATTCTCAGCCGAAAGCTGAGCAGTAGCATCCGGCAACACTACAGCAGCAGTACCTGCCATGGTTTGGTACTGAGAAGTCATTGTGGGAGCCATAGGCTGAGTGTAGTATATCTGTGCATGAGCAGGATCTGCAAATTCATAACCATAATTAGTCGTTGCCGCTGCAGAAGTAGGAGCAGCAACAGACTGGGATGGATGATGAATCTGCGCATAACCAACATACGGCTGTTGATGCTGACTAGCAGGCACTTGGACCAATTGGGGAGCACCTGTAGTTGCAGTTCTGTACACACCCGGGCCGCCCAATTCAGGTTTACCAATATGCGCATTTCTAATGGGGTTATAAGCTGCAGCAGCAGCAACCATCGGAGGACTGGTAGGAGTTTGAGGCCGACTAGAGGGAATACTTGTGGGTGCTTCACTGATAGCATTAGGTTGTTGCACAGACATGTTATAAGCCGCCTGTTGCTGTCTAGCAGGAACATAGTACACCGGATACTGCTGATCAACCTGATGGTGTTGATGATGTTGATGATGATGTTGTTGCTGTTGTTGTTGTTGTTGCTGCTGCTGTTGCTGTTGCTGTTGCGACGGATACACAGGATAATAATGTGAAATGGGCACAGCTCCAGCCGTATGTTGCTGAATATAGTGTGCACCAGGATGAATAAATTGTTGCTGATGTTGCTGTTGTTGTTGTAGCTGATGTTGCTGTTGTTGCTGTAGCTGATGTTGCTGTTGTTGTTGTTGTAGCTGATGTTGCTGGTGTTGTTGTAGCTGCTGATGTTGCTGGTGTTGGTGTTGTTGTAGCTGCTGCTGTTGTTCAAGTTGCGCTTGTTGGAATACATACGCAGAAGCAGAATCCTGAACTTGCTGTACATGAACTCGCGTATTTGCATTCGGATCAGAGAGATTAATCTTTGGATCAACAGGGTTAACAGGAACCCTATTAGCTCCAGGTTGCATTTGCATGACAGGGTCTTGATAAATCACAGGCTTTTGACGAGATATAGCATTTGTAAGACTACTATCACTGAAACATTTTAACAAACACATAGAATATAATCAACATTCCATTCATTTCTCCACCAAAAAAATTAAATAATGTCCATTAAAAAGTATAATCTAACCTTGAAACTGAATCTGGGGATGGCAAATCAAAACCAGCACCGCCACTGCCGCTGCCGCCACCACCTCCGCCGCTTGTCTTCTGTGGCTGTGGCTGTGGCTGTAGCTGTGGCTGTGACTGAGCTGGTGCTTTTCGATACGCAACAGGTACACCATGATCCGATCTCTCATCATCAGAGATTACCCTATTCATATAATCGCCAGGAACCACCACCCCACTCATTCCAACGGTGGTCTGAGGCGGAGGTGGCGGCGGCGACGACAACACAACGAACCCTTCTTCCACCTGCTTTGAAACTCCACCACCAACATTCAGCTGCCCAAATTGCTCTTCAATCCCCACCATTTGTTTCTGATCTTGAACCGCCTTAGCACTATTAACATTAACATTCTCCTCAACATGAACTCGTATCGGCGGCAAATTCGCCAACGAAGGCGAGGAAGAACTAGACCCAAAAGACGACGTCGTTTCCACCATCGGAGAATCCGGCACCGAGTGCACCTCTTGGACTTTCTTCCCCACCGCGCCGCCTCCGCCGCCGCTTCCGCCTCCAGCGGCCGCCAGGACAATCTCATCATCAAGACCTAACAAACAATTCACCGAAGACGAGTCCGAAAACCCACGATTCAAAGCCCCACCCGCCCCATTCAGCGCGTTCAAAAACCACTCATCGGACTTGGTCGAACCCTCGAGAATCGATTGCGATTGAGATGTTTCGAGCTTGTTATTCTGAAACAAAAACAAACGCAACCTACAAGGCTTCTGATAATTAGACGTCGTACGCTCATACTCCTCGATCATATTCTCAAGGTCTTCATCCGTCGTAACAGAGATCAAAGAATCCAAGTCCTCAGACGGCAGCTGGTATTTCAAACTAAACGGCCGGCCATTAAGTAACGACTGGGAGAGACGTGACGTTAAAGACGTGAGCGTGACGTTACGATCGACAACAATGATACGCGTTTCGCCACCAACATAACAGAGAGACTTATCATGAGGACGGGGGACGATATGGCCGCCGTAGCTGCACATGAGGCGGAGTTTCGTGGCGGTGTTGGCGGCGCCGGTAGAGTTGTTAAGAGGGGGATCATCCCAGGAGTCGGTGTGTCGGGAACGAGGGGAGGAATCCACGGATTCGGGGTAGGGTTGGGAGGTGGGGATAGGAGTGGTCGTGGTGGTGGTGGTGGTGGTGGTGGCGGGGGCTGGGGCGGCCGTGGCAGCAGCGGCGACCGTGGCGGAGAGAGGTGGTGGGTCCATGGGGGAAGAAATTGGGGGGGTTTTTGGTGCTAAAGAGAGAGAAAAGGGATGGGAGAAAGTGGGAATTTATATTGGTCTTATTGGTACTCCACACCTGGTGGTCTGGTCTAGTCTAGTCCAGCTGTCTATTTTTTTTTAATTATTTTTTATTTGAAAATTAAAAATTGGTTGAGATTGGGATTGGGGTGAGAAATGTGAATTTTGAAAATTTATTTGGAATTTCAGATGGTGGGGTTGGTTAATATAAGCAACAACTGTACGAAGCCGAACCGTAGAAAAGATAAGAAGAAGTCTGTTTATATTTATACAATTTTCTAAATAAGAAGGATTTTTAGTTATAATTATTAAATACTATTAATAAAAATATTAAAAATATAGGGCGAGATTGCGTCATAATTTATAAATATGACGTTTCATGTTATCTTGAATTATGTACTCCTTTTATAGGGGTTAAAGCATTGGTCGTTGAAAAAATGAAATATTTTAGTCATAATTAAATTAAATAAAAATATTATTTTTACTTTTTAGGGATTTATTTTTTTGGGTTTTGATTGAAGGGGGGAGGGAGCATCAGTGACCAAGTTGAAATAAAACCGTGTACGGTCAGACAGCTAGTTTACCCATTGGTTCCAGTTGGACCATGGGAGTCTCACGTGTGGGAACCATTTTTGATTCGGTACGGCAAGAATGACAGTTATTCTCGTACAATCTGATCATTTGGAGAATTACCGTTTTGATCATCGGCTCCTTGTGATTCCGGGCTCACGATTCCATATTTTACCTACCGGGAACTCTCCGATTTATTGATAAAAAAAGTAAACTCTTTTGTGTGTCGATTGACGATCGATGCATGCAACGTGATCAAACAGACGGTTATGTATTTATTATAGTGAAGATTATATCATGTCCAATGATATATCACGTCCAATGATTCATTAACACATGTGTCTCATACGTACGTTGTGAGCAGATAGATAATAAATTCTTTCATGTGACTAGAGTACATAATTCATTATCAGGTATACTGTGGATTTGATAGATCGATATACTTCCAACATGGTGAAAATTATATCATGTCTAAAGATATATATATCGATCAACCAGCTTCATATATTCTAGGCTAATATTACGAAATTTGATCTACTCTCTTACAGTAAATTCTCCAATTTATAAGTAAAAAAGTTTACTTGTGTGTCAGATGCACATAAGTTATCAACCAGTGCAACAAGATTGGACAGACCAACATAAATTAACTATAGTAACGATTTTATCAGGTCTAATGATACGTTAGTATGTGTGTCTCATACGTGCATTCGATAAAATTTCGCAAATTTTTATATTTTAATAAACAATAAAAAAAAGTTTTTTTTTTGTTACACAAATTATTTGATCATTAAGTGAATTTATATCATTTCTGATATGCATTGATTATCTAAGCTTTATTTAATCTCAACGGCTAGGAAAGTTTTAATCGAACGGCTTAAAAACAATATAATGATTTGTCTATCTTTATATGAATAATTTTTTTTTTTTTAATATAGTGTGATTAGATTGACTTTTAAGTTAGTAATTGAATCAATAGTGAGAAATGAAGTCTTTTAATGGATTTTTGTAATATTCCATTTATTAGAATGTTCAAAGGTATAACAATTTCTTTTTAAAAAGATAAATAGATCAACTAATCTTTAATGCTTCCCACTTCTTTTTATTTATTTATTTAATATAATTTAAAAAAAAAAAGAATCATATGTAAAACGACCCTTTTTTCAAATTATGGGAATTAAAAAACTGTAATTCAATTATAAGAAGTTTATGTATTCAATAATTCAAATATTAGAAGTTAATCACTAGCCTTGTGGCCGGACAGCAGATTTTATTCATCTGGGTGGGTTACCCGAAGATAAACTGACTCAAACATCTCGATTATAATATATATATAATATATATATATATATGTATATATATTACAAGTTAAAACAAATTAGGATAAAGATTTTGAATTTCCTTTTAAAAACCAAAAGTTTATAATTACAAAATTATTGAATTATTAAATTTAAAGTTTAAAAAATTAATGTAAATTAAATTCCTTAAAATAAAAAAATTCCCTTATGTTAGACTATAAAATTAATGCCACCTTCTATTGCATGACATAAAATAGATAAAAAAATATCACTTTTTTATTATTTATTACTAAAATTTCCCAAACCTCATATTATAATTTTAATACTTTATTTATTATCAAAATATTATGTGTTTTAATTTTAAATATAAATACAAATAAAGGTGAATTGATTTGAATATAAAAAGACTTAATTTTAAGATTAATGAGTAAACAACATGTTCCCACACAAGGTTTGACGAAATCCCAAGTTAGTCCCATTTGTTCTATTTATTCTAGATTCTCACCCTTAAAGTGACAGAAAAACGTTTGATGTAACAGTAAAAGGGTAAATTGGTCATTTTACATGAGTGGCGCACGTTAGCAGACTACCGCCTCTAACAGTCCTTCGGCGCACGTTGGCAGCCATCGTTCCCAACGTTTTTCACTCTTTTCTGGCGATTCTTCCACCCAAAATCACCCTTTGTCACCACCATTTGAACCCTCATCCTCCCTTCTACAAAACTATATCATTCACAACCCCTTATCACTCGCTGATCTTCGGCCACGGCAACGAAAAACTGGCGATGAATATGAACTCTCAGCTGGCGAATGACGAAGAAACGGTTGTTGGGGACATAGGGATTTTATAGATTTGGGACGGTGGTTGCATTGGTGGTGTCCAATTGGATTTTCACAACCGGAATCGGCCGGAATCCAGTGAAGAACACTGAAACCCTAAGCCTAACGGTGCCGGCGATTAGAGGGGCAAATGAGTTGGGAACTAGAGGGGTTTTGGACGACGGACTACGGAAAGGTGATGGAGGTGACCAGGGGGTTCGACGTCGTTGGATCGGGCTGTTTCCGGCGAGGGTGTATAGTGACCGAGGGTGTTTTTGATATAATTTGAAAATAAAATGGTAAGTTTTATAATTCTACTAATTTAGGGGTTAAAACATAACTTATTAATTTAGGGTTAAGGGCATTATGGTAATTGCACCCTCTAAACCCTAAAAATTTATAACACTGTTACTTTAGGGGTGAAAATCTAGAATAAATGAAATCAGTGGTAGTAACTTGTGATTTCATCAAACCTTGGGTGGGAATATGTTATTTACTCAAGATTAATTAATATATTAATAATATGGAAACCACTTTACAAGACGCGTTTTTGGCCCTTTAACTTAAAGAAAAATAAATGCTTTTTCCAAAACTTTCACCCAAGCCAAACGCAGTCTTAGCCGCAACTTCGGCCATCACTCGCCCATGGGTTACGTAATGACTCTTCACTTTTTTTCATTAAACAAAAACAAAAAAATCAACAATAGCATGAGAAAAAAAAAATGATAGCGGACCCAGCTCCACGCTCTTTACACGCTCGTTTCCATTGGTTGTTTGAGAAGAGTGTAATCAGCGCGTGTAAGGGAGTGAGCGGGACTGTGACAGGCGGCGTTCATGTAGATGCAACGTTGTAAAGTAATAACGTTTGGCCAACTGCCAAACCAAAATTTTCAGTTAAAGAAATTATAAAAAAACTAAAAAAAAAAGAAGGAATCAGGTGCTCCCGGGTCTACAAAATTCTTATTGAACGTCCAACCGCTTGACTATTGTAACCCTTATAAACGTCAAAATTCTCTCTTTTATTTTGATAAATATAGAATATTCAAAAAACCCATTATTTACTAAATATAACGTATGTCCAACTCACACACATTATAGTAATATAATAAGATCATATAATATAGTTTTTTTTTCCCCTTTTATTTGGTATGCATAATTTATAAAGAACTTTCCTATAATAATGTTGATGCGTGATTTTTATACAAACTAAACACACGTGTATAATGCTGAGCTGGCCCAGAAGACACACGTGAATATAAAGGATAATGAGAGTAAATGCAAGGAGACAAGCGTTTTAAAGTGGTTCGGATACTAAGGAAGCAAGTCTTACGTCCACTGTTGTATTATTAATGATAGAAGTCAGGTCGCATGAGCTGACTGACTGACTTACAATTGATGATACGAGAAGGAGAAGGAAAAGACTTTAATTACAAAGAAAACAGCTAATCAAGAGTAAAATACGTGAATCCCCTGAATGAGAGAGGAGCTCTCCATTTATAGTGGGATGGATTAAGACAATCATCACTGCATCTGCGAGTTAATAGGATTATCCGTGTAAATCCTTCTTTATGTCACATTGCCCACCTTCCATAGTGATTTGTGCGATTCGAAGCAAGGATTGGACACGTGGGATCACCACAGCTCCTGGCTGGCCTGACGCGCGCCCACTATTCTGAAAGAAGCAGGCTGCGGGTGTACCCATGCTCTGACTTTTATAGGTTGGCTGGACCTTACGTCAGCCCCATATTTTTCGGGCATAACAAATAAATTGATTGTTAATTTGTCATTACATAAAATAAATCTTGTAGGTGACACTGACAAACCAAAAGAGATTTTATAATTGTGCACCTTTTACCATTATTTATATTTGCCTTTAATCTTTTTTTTTTCTTTTTTTTATGTAAATGTAATCTTTTTCTTTGCGAGAGTTTGCAAGTTTTTTAAAACGTGGAGTTCATTAGCGAGTAATAGTCAGTATTACTCAAGAGATTATGAGTTTGAATTCTTACGACTACAAATAAGGGGTGGCCACTGGAGGCTTATTAAGGTGTGCATTAGCTGGTCCAGACACCCCCGAATACCAAAAAAAAAAAAAAAAGAAACTAACAGTCAACTACTGTCACCCATCCGTGGGTAATCCAAATAGTCATGATGAATTGGAGATAATGTAAATGGACGCACGATCCTATTCACGATCTCAAGTTCAATTCCACATTTGAACATTCGTGATTTAACTAGGGGGTCGTAGTGGCGGGTTACACTAAATAAATACAAATTTCATATCTTGTCCACTCATTTAAAAGTCCAAAA